GACCGTTACGTATACCACTTCTTTGATGTGGCGTCACGGTATAATTTGCTCTATCCATTAAATGATACAAATACGCAGACCGTGGCAGAATTATGTTGCCAAGTCTTTGCTGATCACGGATGGCCAGATATTATGTGCACTGATAACAGTAATGAGTTCTGCGATGACGTAATGGAATCGCTAGTACTCGCATCAGGCATATGCCATAAGAGAGGTGTGCCATATAAGCCACAAACGCAAGGCGCGAATAAAACGCGCTATAGACGACATAAGTTATTCTTGCGTACCGTATTAACGGATGATGCAGATGATTGGCCGTACCCCCTTAAGTGAGTAAAACACAGATGAACGATGTGCTGATCCGGTTACAGGAACTACACCCGTTCACTATTTTCGTGGCAGATATAGTGAGTAACAAATACCCTTTAACAAGGACGAACCTGATCTCCATGATTTACCATGGTTAGAGGAGGTACAACGTGTTTATAACGTTGTATATCCTTGCTTGCGAGAAATACGCAATATAGCCTTATTAAAAAGGCATAAGCGTTGGAACACTACCAGGAAGTTGGCAGATTATCAGGTCGGTGACAAAGTTAACATTCCGATGCTACTGTATTAACATCTAAATGGATAGGTCCATAATCTCTGTAGCAGACACTAAAAGTGGAACGTACGAGGTAAACAACCTCGATGGTTCTAGTGCATTTAATATAGGCACAAGTCGTATTCCGACTACAGCGATTATACTCGCAAGAAGACATGACTCTAATGCCCCTCTTGATCGTTCTGAATTTAAAGACATTATATGGAGAACGGATAAGGGAGACTATACATACTATCGTACACGCTTTATAGACGGTACAATAGCTGAGTTGACTTCAGATATTTTCGATAGTCAAGACTATTTAAAAGCGTTTAATTGAAAATGGCGTAAACGCCTGCATAAGTCACAAGCTAAAAAAAATAGCACGTTTCCATCGTCTGAAGGCACAGAAGTTAAAATTTATCCACCTACAGCATTTATCCCGAGCCTTAATGTTCATCCTTCATATGGCTTAAGACACTGAAGCGTAGTAAACGTACAGTCGACCACCACGGACCTACTGGACCTATGCCCAAAACTCACAGGGTAACCGAGAACGCTTAACTTCTCCGCCTGAGAAATATTAACTGTACGTTATGCCACTTGAAGTTTTCAACCCGTTTTGCTTTTCTCGCTTTTTGACCCATAATCAGCTTCAGTGAGCTACTTGCTTCTCCTGGGTCTCAAATCTGGGTGGGGGCTGTGTAATAGCCGAGCTTCAACATTAGACTCTTATGTTATAAACGTACTCGTACGCAGTACGTAAACTATAAACATAATCTTAATAGTAAGAGGAATTTTAGTGTCCTAAATGGTTTTTGACGGTTTTATTAATTAATACCTTTTCCATTTTACATATCAATATTTGGACAAGGCCATTAAAAGGCCCCAGTAAAATACCAAACATAAGAGTTGGTCTAGTTCTATTAATATAGCTATATTTACTTTCCAACTTTATTTATTTCTGAATACTTCGGTAGCGAGATGGCTCAACCGAATATATGTTTCTAGGGACTATTAGCGTTACCCAGTTTAACCTCCGTTCAGCCAACCAGATGTGCCAGTCTGATGAAGGCTAAGTCTGTAATTCTTGATAAGTGGCAAGCTATTGGTTAATACAATAACTATGGACATCAAGAGTATATTTTTTTCTTTTTTCTAAGAATAGAATTTATGAGTCTCTCGGATTCATTCCAACGAAACATACCATAGTTTCTATTAGAGCGACAACGAAACACGAAATAAAATCCCTTCGGCGGAAACAGAACTGAGAGGATTATATATAGGCAATGTCTCAGCCTCACAATCCCTCAGAGTATTGCTGTTTTTACGAGGCAAACCTTACTTTACTAAAAGACCAATTACGTTTATTCTGCTTTAATTTCATTTGAGCTTTAGAAGACTTTATTACGTTTAACTACTCTAAGACGTTAATATCGCGCCTTAAGAGACCGAATTTCACAGTGAGAGCCGTAATCAACTGCTCATCCCACATTGAGCCACGGTCTTCTTCACTCAACATACAAAACATACCCGTTTTCACGAATTTAGACGGTCCCCGCTGGGTAATCAGTGCATAGACTGATCCTTCATGCGTATCCGCATGTCTTTGAAAGGTTACCAGTATGTCCTGATACTTGTCATGTTCCTTCTGATGACCTTGAGCCAAGAGTACTGCTACGGTACACAATCGTGCTTGCACGTCACCTTCTGACATTTTCTTGTGTTTATTTATTAAAAAAAAACCCCCCTATATATCAAGAGTCTCCGTCTCAGTCGCTCACAACTTATCTGTTCTTTTAGAGGAGGCTATGACTTCTCAAGAAGAATATAACCCAATTCTAAAGTTATAATTGGTTTTTCATTGATGAATGTTTCTAAATAAACCTAGTGAGCTCAGAGAACTTCAGACTTCAGAGTTTATTGTTTTTAGAGCTAGTTTCATATTGTCAGTTTGGACAAAGACAGTGGCTACATATTTTGTGACAAACCCCAATTATTATTCTTTTAAATATCGAGGCTATGTCGTTATATGTACTCTAATAATCTAGATCAGAGGCTCCACTGCCCTGATGGCCCTCCTGATAGCCTGTCCAAACTCAATAAGTCCAAACTCTAAACCCCCTCCACATTCCCTTATTTTAAAAACCTGGTGAGTTCGGAGTTTAGAGCCGGTTAAGAGTTTGTCATAGTTTGTTGTAATCTTTGGAGTTTGGGACATCGGTGCCGCGCAGCCGCACCCAAATCTAAATGATATTAAAATATTTCCTGGAAGAAGAAGAAAAATACTACGACTAAAAATAGTAGGCATTCAGTGTCTCTGGCCTATGGCACTGGGCAGTCTGGCCCTCTGGCGGTCTGGCCTACAGTGCTGAGTGCTGACTGCTGACCGCTGCGAGTCCACAGAGTCTGCACTCTGCACTCTGCTCTCAGCCTCTCTCTCTGTAGAGGAGAGAGACCTCGTCGGTGAGGCTATCGTCTCGTCGGGCCGTCGGGCGTCGGCTCGTCCTCTGCGTGACTACGTTTCTCTACATCATGGTGAAGAGTCTCTCTAGTAGTCTCTAGTTCTATAGTACATATTTAGCAAATAGTAAAGACTAGAGAATAGGCCGTAGGGCCACAAAATATATTTTTTCTAAAATAGTGACATAAATTAAAATATTGATACTGGATTGGATCAGGAGGATGGTCCCAGACTTTAAAGTCCTGGAGTCCTGGACCTGGACCTCAGACTGCAGTCTTTCCGGCTTCCGCTCCGTCGTCAGCATCCGTATGTATTACAAATTGGGGGGGACCTGCACGAATTTATTTCGAATCCCCTACTAGCCTAAAATTCGTGAGTTGTTTACTCTATGCTTTTCGGGTTTTAATACAATTTTTGAAGTATATGGATTACAGGTATTGACGCCTGACGGACCTGGTCACCTGTTGGGTCATTATTTGAGCCCTTGGGCCTTGGGCCTTGCCTGATAACTGGATTGTTTTATATTTATTTATTTTAAAAATACATACTCTATTCTAAAACTAAAAACACAAAATGGTTGAAACTGCGGATAATTTTGGGACTATGTTCATAGTTATTGTGGAGTGTGGACTGACTAGACTCTCTCTCTCTAGTCTCTACTCTCTACTAGTAGAGACTAGAGTGAGTAGACTAGACTCACCAGTCACCAGTAACCAGCCGAAAGCCCGACACCAGCTCCCACAGACCCTCACGGCTCACTTTTTTCTCACACCACTATGTAGGAACTCTCATCACTCATCACTCACATCAGTCAAGACTCAAGAGTGATCAAGTCACATCAGACATTCAGAAGAAAAACTTTTGTACCAAATACTCCCCAGAGTCTATCACCACAGAGGTCTTTTGTTTAAATAAAAAAAGATCACTCAGGCCCAGTCTTAACGGGTTCGGATTTTGCGTTCGGATTTTGCGTTCGGAGTGTTTTTGGTCGCTCCTGCCTCAAAGCAGTGTCCAATATCAATTTTTGGACTACTTCGCTACATTGAGTGCAATTTGTTTACGTACTATTTCAATATTTCCAAGCTATATAACTCATAAAGTCAAGAGAGCACTAATTGGATAATCATTATTATGGATCTGAGAAAAAGCAATACAGAATACACATGTATTATGCATATTTATATCATTTTAAATGTATATATACAATAAAGAGAAGTCGTATTGCTGTCGTTGTATAAACCGTAATACGACTTGGACAGTATGGAGAATATCAATAACCTTGAAGAACCGGATTGCGAATGCATTCACTGAACGAGTGTTCGGTGTCACATTGCAGTAGTGAACAAGAATTAGCACATTTGCGTCACGAACCAGTGACAAACAGCACTTCGAATAATGATCACTGTAATTACTTTCACGACTCGGATAATAATACTGGCCAATCACAAAGCTTGTGAAGTTGAGCATATTTCCTAGATTCCAGTACGTATATTAACCGCAAAAGCGAGTTTACGAAAAGAATTTTCAGAATCCCGTAATCCGATCCGAACGTAAAACTTCTCGAGGGGTATTTTTGCCCTCGAAAGATTGACCTCGTTCGGAAATTTCGTTCGGATTTTTTTTTGGCTTTTTCTTGAAATTTTAAAATTACCCTATACCTATTGGTGTAGAAATCCGAACGTAAAATCCGAACGCAAAATCCGAACCCGTTAAGACTGGGCCTAATTGTATGAAATACGTGTCACCTCACTCGCCTGACTGCCTGAGTGGAGTCTGAGACTTGAGAGTCTAACTCGCCTCCAGAGAGGTGCGTATCCAATTGTCCACTTGATTTCTCTAGCCGAGAGTAATAGGGTTCGCTGTGTAATATGAACTTTTTGGAAAATTCCCGAAGTGAGGGCCTGAGCCTCATATTTATCCAACCCCGCAAGCCATAAACCTGCATCAAAGTTACACTCGTGAGAAAAAGACTACACATAAATACATGTTCGTACAATCATACAGACAAATCGTGATTTTTGGCAATGCCCTACGAATAGTACTTCTGATTACTTGACTTGATTGTAAACTACGAATAACGTCTTTAATGTTACAAACCTATTCATTAAACACCAGATACACGCTCAGCATTACCTCATTTGTTTCGTGTAGTATCGCGATCAACTTTGTGCTGCACTTCGGCAGCTCGAATAATTATAGGTTAATTTTTCGATGACCGCTACAAAGGTGCTTGTAACTCCACTATCCGGCGTAGGTAAGACGGGAAAATATGAGCGGACAAATGACGTACATCCCGTTATCAATAAATACGATAAGTTCAGTGACCATGATCCACTAGCGGACACGGCATTGCCATGGTTGAAAGCAAGCGCTGAAACGGAACTCTCAACTGCCGGCGTTGAGAAGAAATGCGCCAAACAAGACCAAAGCCCTACATCTCTGCACCCTGCCAGGTTAGAATCTGGGCTCAGTGCTTCTATCGAGGTGTTGCACGATGACATGCCTGTTGTGGCTAAAAATAATAAGGCTCCATTGAAGACACCGGATATATTGCCGGTGGTCGAACCATCCCGTCGCATACCGAGTATCGCCGAAGAGCTTCTCGTAGCGAAGCGCGAAAATCAGATCCGGTATGCAGTGTGCGCCGCTTTCCGAAAGGTTCCCAAGAAGCCTTCGAAGTTCACGAAGTTGGAACGCAGGCCGTTTCGCTACAGTGATGATCTACAGATGCATGTCAAAAAACAAGCGTGGCACATCTGTCGCGCGACGAAGCTATACATCGACTGGTGGAGGACAGCTTATTTTACAGGTGGTTCTGATGTGTTCTGCGCTCTCTTTTGTGACTTGCGGTTACGCAGAGGAATTGATGGTATAGCGCTGGACCACATCAAAGAGATGTCACGTGTATCTTTATTCGAGGGTGTGGTTAGCCTCAATAACAGTTCCCGCGTGCGAGTTAACGCACCGGCCGATACTTACAGCGATGAAGACGAGACAAAGATTGACTATATTGAACGTTCGAATGAGCATATAGACGGTGCGTGGACGACTGAAAAGGAATACGAGTCACGCCATTTACCTTTAGAGGTTAGGAATGCTAAGAATGTCCAGGCTAAACGAAGCTTTTCCGGGGGCCCTACCCTGAAGGTCATCACACTGAAGCGCAGCAACTCTGCGAGCCGTACCAGGTCTAACACCGTGGCAGACGTAGTTTCGAAAAGGCAGCACAATCAATACGGGCACACCACGGGAAGCGGCAGTACAGCATCGGGCAGTACGTCGAAAGGCAGTAACGGGAGTTATGGAAAGAGTGTCATGAAGACTATCAAAGACAAGACGACGAAGGCTACAGGTGTTAAGAGTATCAAGAAAGGCGTACGCGTGATTGAGCGCGCCACGCGTGCCTCAGTGAGGGCGGCGCCGCAAGCCATGTTTGGCCTGTCGCGCGTGCGAACGAATTCCGGTTCTGGAAACAGTAGAACCAGTACCGATGAATCTGTCACGTCGCGCGAGCGGATTTCGACGCGCGTTGATGACACGCTCGCGCTGCGGGCGACAGCAAGTTACGAGAGTGGTTTCGCTGCGCTCGAAGAGCGCTTTGGGCATCGTGAAGAGTTCTGTTGGGATCGGCGTGGTAGGGCTGATAGCTGTTATGATGAATATGGTGGCTGTAGTGGGCGGTCAGGCGGGGGTATGTACCATGTTGGAGAGCGAGAGCGAGATGGTCTTTTCCGGGGTGAGGTCGTGGATTACGACTGGACCACAAGTATAGGTTTATATCGCGTCGCGAGTGTGCACCATTCGGGTGATGATTTTGATGGCACTGCGGATGATGACGGGGAAGCCGTATACACGGACCTTTGAAGTTTATATATGTACAAACAATAGATACGATAATGTGGCACTCTTATTGGATGGCAGGGCACTATGGGGACAACCGATCTACATACTAATTTTAATTGTGTTGTATGACAAATATCGCATCAACCATAAGGAAGTCTACATGCGACTTCGAGTAATATTACTTCAAAGAATAGGAGGCAAAATATGTGTCATACTATCCTTTAATAGCAAACGATGGACATTCGCTTGTAGGCGTGTTTGCATTGGAGCTATCCAGTGTATGAGCAAGAAAGATGGTGCTGAAGTCACCACTTTGAATTAAATACAGCTCTTTTTTACTATCATGTTGAGCTACTGATTTCAGGCAATAACTGTGTATAAACAGGCGTAGGCAACACGCCCAGTGTATGGTATTCTTTTTTTCAATACATTGATCACGATTAGTTAGTGGTTGACACACACGCCCAGAGGGGAAACAAACATGTACCTCATATTTACTTTGTAACATCATATCCCGCCGCCAGGGGGTTTCTTACTTTTTCTCCAGGTAAGCGAGAGAGTGAATTAAATTCCAGGCTTCAATGCGTACGGGCCTACAGGAAAACGGTTTACGTTAAAAGACAAATACATAAACTCGAGCGAGCAGTTTATTTATCTTTTTTACGTTTAAAAAAGAGTACATAATTAAAATACGTCATTTTTAATTTTAATTCCCTCTAAATATGCCTCCTAATTTTTTTTTAACAAAATGGATTTTTATTTTGAGAAATCCTAATCTTGCCCAATAAAATTAAAAAATTGGGGGGTTTTGTTTCAACAAATTCAAAAAACAAAAAATGTAAGCTACGCTTCCTTATCGCTGCGATCACTCCACAAGGAGAAAGGGACAAGGGGTGTTGTGCTAAAAAAAAACTTCATAAATGATCAATCTCTGTGGACATGTATCTATATATCGAGTTGAAAGCTCGCAGTGTGATACATGGGGGATAAGTATACTGTACCTACGACCAGAGATATCAGTTGCAAAAAAAGGTAGTTGTACCAGATTCCAGCACGCAAATATTAACGAATCCAACGAATCTTCAGCCGATATTGATATTGTACGCAACATGTCAGACGCAGTGCGGCGAAACGATACGCCTACCCATGCAATTGATACTTCAGCTCAAGCTAACGAAACTTCTCGTCGCAGTGAGAATAGCGGTAGGTATACCTTCGTAAGCGTTCGTTGATACAAATTAAGAGCCTGATATCTTCTTGAGTAGAATAGTACTACACTCTCATCGTTACATTTGAGATATCCATCATTTCTAACCAGTGTTGTCAGTTGTCAAAGTTTTATGCAAGTCCACAAAAGTTAAAATAAAAGCATACACATGCATAGTCTATCCAATCTTAGAATCAATATATATATATATATTATATATATATATATATATGTGTGTGTGTGTGTGTGTGTGTG